CCCCCCTCCTTAGTTATTCACTCCAACGGCATTACCCCCGCAACCCCCACTCCTACCGGTGAATTATCATTGCCTAAAATTAAAAACAATGTGGACACTACCCAACACGATCCCCCCCCCCCCCCCCCCCCCTCCATTTTATTACCAGAAAGCTTCGCACCACTAATAGTAAACGATTATATTTTTGTTGACTGATGTGCATACACTTCAGATACATATCATTCTAGTACTGTTGGTGGTGTGAAATTAGATAACATTTCTTACACAATGTCCATGTACTGTTGGCAATGTAAAAGATAGAACTTTTAACTCATGGGGTGCCGCCGCTTCTGGGGGTGTATTTTAACAAATATGAGATGTCTCGCGTTTTTATGCTATGCACGAATTATCTCGAATATCCTTAATATCTGCTTAGGTATTCCACAGGATTTGGGGAAGCTCGGAATGTACTTGCGTCAATGTTTTCGAGCACTCTGCTTTTATTCTTGGTTTGCCAATGTTTTGAAATCGTGTAAGGACGTTGTGGTTGCTAATAAAGAGTCAAGTATAGCTTCAGTACCTTTTATCTTGATGAAATACCGCTGGAGGTCTAAATATTGAGAAGGGGACAAAAGTATCTGAATGAGATAATGTCCTATCGGTTATGTGTGGTAGAATGTCGAGGGTTGGAGTTTACTGTTATAGTAGTTTCTTCCATTGTTTCTTCCATTGTTTCTTCCATTGTTTCTTCCATTGTTTCTTCCATTGTTTCTTCCATTGTTTCTTCCATTGTTTCTTCCATTGTTTCTTCCATTGTTTCTTCCATTGTTTCTTCCATTGTTTCTTCCATTGTTTCTTCCATTGTTTCTTCCATTGTTTCTTCCATTGTTTCTTCCATTGTTTCTTCCATTGTTTCTTCCATTGTTTCTTCCATTGTTTCTTCCATTGTTTCTTCCATACTTTTTTCTCCGGAGGGGGGGGGGGGGGATGTTAAAAGTATATATTTTCTATATAAATTCCATTCGGGGAGAGGGGCGGTCAGTAGCGTAGCTAGGGGAGGGGGGCGGGGGGGGGGGGGACAAATGTCCCCGGGCGCCGATCTTAGGGGGCGCCAAAATGGGTTGGAAAAATAAATTGAAAGGTTGAGGGGGTGCGAATCGAAAGTTTGATGGGGGGGGGGGGGTGCAAATCGAAAAGTTTGTCCCCGGGCTCCGGGAAGGGTCGCTACGCCTCTGCGGGCTGTAGACTTTCTTTGGGGGGGGGGCACAGTAAGAAACTCTGAGTAATAAGACTATATTGCTAATATAATGCAGTAGCCATAGTTCAAAGTTCAGTTAACTCTAATATAAAACAGATAGCTCGTTAAACTGTGGGGGATTAAGTGTGAGGGCGCGGGTGGTGGTGGTTGTGATTAAAAACCGATTTAGCCGTGTGATTCATACCCGGCGATTAGCACCCAGACAACGATTACGGGCGGTGCTGGGGTCGTTGTGGGGCCACATGGAGTGGCGGTTGTCAATCAACCTGACATGTAGGGAGATAGTGTTCAGGGGTCATAGGTCACACAAACACATCTGCCACTTTTCTTCACTCTGCGCGTAGGCTGTGGAGTAATGGTAAGTTTTAGTATTGTGTACTAACTGTTAAAAAATTAACATGATTATTTGTAATAAGTAACACATTAAAAGCTATATATATATATATATATATATATATATATATATATATATATATATATATATATATATATATATATATATATATATATATATATATATATATATATATATATATACTCATTATAATAATATATTACGTAATTCTGTCATTATGTAGACAAAGACATTTTGAAGAATAGAAATACTCTATTTTTTATTAACATTTAAAAACATTTAGTTACTTCCCATTTCATAATACAAATTTAAAAAGGGAAAAAACTACTACTATGTTCGTAAAATGTATTAGAAATACAGAGACATTTCGTAGTTGTAAAAAAAAAATTTGGATCGTTGCCTGTTTTTTAATTAATTAAGAAAATTTTGTTTGCTGTGCAATTTGTTTTCAACTTTCAAAATTTTAACGATTTTAATATTGTTTGTTGGCTCTAGATCAAATAGAAAACATTAGCTATTTAAAATACATAATTTATTAACATCAGAAAATACTAAAATTTTATCAATTATACTGCTAGACGAATCTATGGTCAACGTAAATATTCGAATTTTAAAACTAAACTATTTCACAAACTGCAGAAAAGACAGGCTGAACGTGTTTGTCCGGAGGTCGGCAACCTGTTGCTCGCGAACCGCATGCGGTTCTTTTGATGTCAAGATGCGGCCTTTCAGCTCCATGCACAAATGTTAATACTTATTTAATTTTAATTTCAAAACTCATAAAAATATTTTTTTGAAAACGACATAATAATAAATATAAACAATAATCACTGGCAATTCTATAAGAATGTTTAGTTTCTCCGTATTTCAACGAATTTCCTATTAAATTGTCCATCCCGAACAGCGTTTCTTTCAGACTTTTTACTAACAAAAGGGGGGTGAGGGTGGACACTATTAAAAGTATATATTTTGTATATAAATTCCTGTTCGTTCGGCGGGCGGTAGACATTCTTCAGAGGGTGGTGGGTGGGGGGGGGGAGGGGGGGGGGGAGGGGTGTTGGGCTCCCAATGTGATGCCTTGAAGTAACTCTGATCTAGATTTGTTTCGAAAAAAATTAAATTTTTTTTGAAGACACGGACAGCGGTAAATTACTTGATTTAGAAAAACCTGAAAAAATATCGTGATGAAACCATTGCAACTATTAACATGAATTACTTCAGCATTAAAATAAACAAAATGAAGGATGAATTCACTGAGAGATTTGAGCAATTTTAAAAACAAATGCAAGTACTCTGACGTTCGTAGCAGTTTCCCTCAACACAAAAACGAATGAGATGAACATTGAGCTGTTTGGAATTGATGCTGGTTCGATTCAAATGTAATTGCTGGATTTGAAAACGACACATTTGTGGAGCGGTAAATTCATAGAACTCAAGTGCAAGGAAAAATAGTTGGAAGTCCAGTAAAACATGCACGTTACGCTGCGCTAGGGGACAGCTCTAAAAGAAATGCCGCGAGTTTAGGCACTCATATGTGACGCAAGGGATAGTCTTCCAGAATGCTATGGTGAGGTGAAAAAGTGTGCATATGGAGTGCGACGATTTTCGGGACAACATATTCATGCGAGCAAGTGTTTTCTTGCATGAATATAATAAAAAGTAAAGAAAGAAGGCAACTAACAAATAAAAATTTAGAGGTTTGCTTGAAACTGAAAACCAAACTTTCAAACGGCATACAAGGCCAAACTATTGTAAATATAATTCAATAATTAGTTATATAATTTGATTACTTATTGTATTATCCTATCAGAACTAGCTAAAATAGTGTAATATTTTTTTGTGCGAAACATGTGTATTTTTTATATCAATAAATATTATTTCATATCTAAAGCTATTTATTTTAAATTGTAACTTTTGGCTCTTCCTCTCAAAAGGTTGCCGACCCCTGTGCTTGTCCATTGAGAAATGCAATGTGTGTGTTTTGGTATATATATATATATATATATATATATATATATATATATATATATATATATATATATATATATATATATATATATATATATATATATATATATATATATACATATACGATACCGATGTAGGTGCGTCAACTAAATCTATGTATACCCCTTTAATGAATCAAAACGTGACACACCTGTTAATTTGATTTAGCAATTGAGGAAAAGTGAGCAATGTCTACTATTATTTTTTATTTTAACTTTTTCAATTTATATTTATATTTACTTTAAGTTCGTCGTCAAAGTATCGTGGAAACAACACATACTTGTCTTGTATGCTTTTATTTGGCCAGGACGAAGCCTGGCAGGTACCGCAATAAATAATTATCGTGAGAGTGAGTGATGGCTATCTTTCCTACGGTTAATTTTCACATATTTTCCTTTCATTTCAATCATATGTTCTAAAAAAAAAAAACCGCCCCGTCGTTTTTTTCCTAACGTTTCCCTCAGCCAAATAGCGCTCTCTCGTTATTTGCCAAGGAAAAAAAAGTGATTTGAACTTATTGATTACCAATTGATGGGCAATCACATAAAATCGATACGTGAGTATGATTAAAGGTGAACATAAGTGGACCGTGTCGGGGGTCATTCCGGGTTTCCGGTTGTGGGTGATGGAGGTAAACCTCGAGACAAATAATTTCTGTTGATGTATCTAAGGTTAAGAAATTGAAACTATTCTTGTGCGGGAGTATTGGTTACAATTGTAATCGATCATTTGCCAGCTCTAAAATGTGTTTGTTGTATGTAATCACAGTTTGGTAAGTCAGTGGTAAAATGAGATTTTGGTAGATCATTGTGACACAGAGATAATCATTGTGTTAGGGCAAGACTAATACTTTGAAGTGACTTTCATCCAGGTCACTTAAACTTTGTATTATTTAATGGCTGGTCATTTAGACCTTGTGATAATTTTAAGGCACGTTATTTTTATTTTTAAGATTGAGCTATTTTCTTAGGCCTTGTAATGATTTTAGGATAAAGCACTAAGATATTATGAACATAATTAGGTTAGGCCATTGAAACCTAATAACAGTAGGAGTACAACATGTACTAATGACGGTATAACATGTACTAATGACGGTATAACATGTACTAATGACGGTATAACATGTACTAATGACGGTATAACATGTACTAATGACGGTATAACATGTACTAATGACGGTATAACATGTACTAATGACGGTATAACATGTACTAATGACGATATAACATGTACCAATGACGGTACACCATCTACTAATGACGATATAACATCTACTAATGACGGTACACCATCTACTAATGACGATATAACATCTACTAATGACGCTATAACATGTACCAATGACGGTACGATTATAACTTATAAAAGACTTTCTTCTTCTTCTTCTTCTTCCTCTCCCAGAAGCTCAGCACCCACAACTACGACGTCAAGGAGACGGGAGTGACAGACTTGCAGACGACCGAGCCCTTCCATCAACAGCTCCACTCCAGTCTGCAGGCTTTCGACAAGCGGAAATGGCGGCCCCTAACACCGGATATGGTACCTCAACTGGCAGTGACCCGCTGCCGGCCAGTGAGTGGCAGGTAACCACGTCATTGCCTGTTTACCTAGGTGTTTGGTGTTATGTTGAACTGATCAATTACATTAATAACCAGCGGTAGTTTCGACCACGTAGGCGTTTTGCGAATAATACAGTTGGCAACCTGCAACCAAGTATTTGTAACCCTGCGGTTTATTGTGTACTAACTTTAGCAGGCCTACTTTTTAAAACTAGTTCATCTCTAGTAGAGTTTCTTCCAGGCATCTCTCCGGGGAGGGGGGGGGGGCGAAGCCCCCCGAAATTTATTTACCACCCCCCCCCCCCCCCGAACGTAATGAAATTTATATAATTTATATAGAAATATATACTTTTAACAGTGTCCGCCCCCCCGAAGAAAGTCTACCGCCCCCCCCCAAAAAAATTTCAAGTGCCCCCCCCCCCCCCCGGAGAAAAAAGTATGGAAGAAACACTGATCTCTACGAAGTAAATTATCAGATCTAGAGTTAATTAAAGCTTACACTTTTTGCTTTAACAGAAATTCCTATTAAATTAGTTCAAACCCGTAAACAGCCGACATCATCAAAGTTAATAATTGACAAAGTTCGGGATTAGTTTATTTTTCTGCATATTTAAACATTGTATGATTCCATCATTTATATAACGAAACGCCAGAATTAAATGGTTGGATAGTAGAAGCGCCATAACACTTAATTTAAGCGGTAGTTTTATAATCTTCTTTTCGGCTATAACAACTGTATATAAACACAATAATTCAGTAGATCTATTATGGGTACAGTGGTTGTAAGATGGAAAATACTTAATTCTCTATTTTACTACAGGTCCGTGTTGAAGGTAAATGTTTTGGTCCTGCAACTTCAATCCTACACTGATCCCGATAAATAACTCTCGCAGAAAAATAACATTTGCCTTAAACCTAGTTTTAGGTGTAACCCAAATTTTGACCCTAAAAAATACCTAAATGTAACATCAATAAAAACACCATAACAAAGCATTATTTTTTATGTTGATCGTGTTCTTTTTTAAATGAAATAAAGATGGCAGAAGCCGTTAGATTACTTAATATGTGTGTTAGATAATATTTTGTTCGTTATATTACTTAATATGTGTGTTAGATAATATTTTGTTCATAAGCCGTTATATTACTTAATATGTGTGTTTATATTTTGTTCAGAAGCCGTTATATTACTTAATATGTGTGAGATAATATTTTGTTCAGAAGCCGTTATATTACTTAATATGTGTGTTAGATAATATTTTGTTCAGAAGCCGTTATATTACTTAATATGTGTGAGATAATATTTTGTTCAGAAGCCGTTATATTACTTAATATGTGTGAGATAATATTTTGTTCAGAAGCCGTTATATTACTTAATATGTGTGTTAGATAATATTTTGTTCAGAAGCCGTTATATTACTTAATATGTGTGTTAGATAATATTTTGTTTCCTCTCTTATTCCAGACATGCTGCATCCAGCGTGCCAGCCAAACCTACTGTTGTAAAGCAAGCATCGATGTATGATCGACCTCCCTCCAGGGGCGCCGGGGGAAGCCTGACGGACAGACGGAGCCCCATCACCCGAGTGGACCCCGGCCCCTTCGATACATTGACCCCCGCCATTTTATCCCAGATGGTCGACTCGCGGTCAATGACCCCGACGTCACACCTGCTCGACTCTCCATCCATGACGCCGACGCCACACATGGCTGACTCTTTTTCCATGACGCCAACATCAGAAACATTCGACCCTCTGTCCATGACGTCGTCATCGTTCGGCAACCGCGTCCGGCTCAGGAACCACACCCGTCGTATATTTCCGCCGGATGCGACCAGCTCAGGGGACGAGAGCGACCGAGGAATCCGCGACATGTTCGACGACTCGGACAGCCTTTCAGAACTCGAGCGGGGCCGGGAGCCCTCGTTAGACCCCCACCGTAAGATCCCGGAGCTGAACCTGCGTCCTGAAAACGCCGACGACGTTTACATCCCCGCCAACAAACGCGACATGAGAAGGTTTGATTTCGATGCGGAGAACACAGAAGTGCCGGAGTATCCGTTCAAGAACCCGGTTCCGTTTCCTCTGGATAAAATCAGCTTTCGGTACTACGCCTTGCAGAATATCGATTGGAGACTAGCACACAGCGCTACTGTTCTGAACGACTTGGAACTGTGTCTTTTTCTCGATCGCCTCGTCGACATGGAGAAACGTCAAGCCAGCACGATCAAGTGGGAGGAGCGGAGATACAAGAGGTTCAAAAAACGCAAAGTCGCGTCCGGGGCTGGGAAATCTCGCGATAAACGCTGCTGTAATCCTTGTTTGCAGCCGGCGTGTGTCGGCGACTGCCCAGTTAAAAAAGCTCCCCCGGATTGCTGCGAGAAATGCCGACAGTCTTTGTGTACTGGAAATTGTACCGAAACGAAATACGAACAGCGCATGCGTCAGCAACTAGACGAGCCGGTAGTGCCCGCGTCGACCTCGACTCCGACTGTAAAAAGCTGCAAAACTTGCCAAATCCAGAACCCCGCGAAGAATATCAACTCCCAACATATTTCTCTGGGTCGGCCGAAATCCGCGCTTACAACTTTCAGCAGGGCCAAAGCCTCGTCCAAACCAAAGTCCACAAGACCATCGTCAGCAGAGCCGGACCTCACGTCGAAAAGGTCCTCCAAGAAGAAGCTTGACCTGCGGACAACGCTCTCTCCGGCCGCCGTACGCCGCAAAGCCACCATCCAGTCGGCTGACGACATGGCCAGCGGCATGTTCTGCATCAACCAGTCCCTGACGGATCTGTCCATCAAGCAACAGCGGTTCCCCAACAGCAAGAAACGCGTGAGTTGAGGCCCTAAGCAGACAGAGGACAGCTGGCATGAACTTCCTGTCACACATTGACAGGCAACGGCTGTCATACATAGACCGGCCTGCTAGTGTGAACTTGCTGTCATACATTGACAGGCTAGCTGGTATGAAATGGCTGTCAAAGATTGACAGGCCTGCCGGTGTATAAACTTGTTGCCATAGATCGACAGGCTTGCTTGTATAAATTGTCTGTCATACTTTGACAGCTAGCTGCTATGAGCTGGCTGTCATACATTAACAGGTCTGTTGCTGTGAACTTGTATAATACATCGACCTTGATGGCTATAATGCGTTCAGAGCCTCACTTTTTTTTACAGTGATACTTCTTGTATGTCTACTTTATGAACTGGGCTGTCTGCTGTGTATTTCTACTTCATGAACAGGGCTGTCTGCTAAGTATGTCCACTTGATGAACTAGACAGTCTACCGAGCTGTGATGTATTTATTGACCATTACTATTTATTTGACCTAAACCCCACCGACAACGTAACTAAACCCACTCTCAACACCCCCTCAACGACACAGCCCCACCTACTGAGGCTAGAACTAGACTCTACGTTGTGGTATAAGTATTCCATTCATTTTCATTGTATGTATTCTGCATTAACTGACGAAATGTGTTGTTTTTATTAAAATTTACAAGGACCAGTCGAAGAGTTACAGGTTGTTTTATATATAAATAAATAAAAGGGATCGGTATAAACAGAACAATTTTACGGAAACGTATACATCTTTTGCAGGGGAACCTGAAGTTTTCCGGAACGGACACTTGTCCGAATGCGACAAACGCCCGAATGGACTCTTGCCCGAATGCGAAAAATTTACACTTGCCCGAATGTAGCAAATGCCCGTAAGGACACTTGCCCAAATGGGTATTGTCGCATTCGAGCAAACGGCAATCTAACAAGAGTATTTCGGTCGTAGACCCCTTTTGCAGTATGGTAGAGCGTTCTACTGCTAATCAGAAAGTCTTGAGTTCAAAACACGGACTGATATTTTTTTAGTCCACCTAGCTCTTATGGGTATCTGACTGACGTTTAATCATTTTATTCCCTCAATATTTATTACAGGGCTTTTATTATTCACAGATGTCTTGTACATTTTATTACCTGGCCAATTTGTTGTGAATAAAATATTTTTGGAAATGAAAAACACAAAGAAATGCTTTTAGTACTCAACAGGATATTTCCTTTAATTTTTAAAAACGACCATACATGTCGTATAGTTTTTCAACAGTAAAGCTCCATAAAATATTCAGTCTATTAAATAAATTTTAAATTTATAAATATGATGAAATAAAATGTATATTCCTGATTTCAATTAACTCTTAAAACAAAAACAAAACATACGTGAGAAATAAGAGACAACATTTTATTAATAAAGTCGTATTAAGATGAAACAACGGTCATATAAAGCGTGTGGTTGAAAAAAGGGTCGTCTATGGCGTGTGGTTGAAACAAGGGTCGTCTATGGCGTGTGGTTGAAAGAAGGGTCGTCTATGGTGTGTGGTTGAAACAAGGGTCGTCTATGGCGTGTGGTTGAAAGAAGGGTCGTCTATGGTGTGTGGTTGAAACAAGGGTCGTCTATGGCGTGTGGTTGAAAGAAGGGTTGTCTATGGCGTGTGGTTGAAAAAAGGGTCGTCTGTAGCGTGTGGTTGAAAGAAAGGTTCTCTATGGCGTGTGGTTGAAGGAAAGGTCGTCTATGGCGTGTGGTTGAAACAAGGGTCTCATGCTGCGTGTGGTTGAAACAAGGGTCGTCTATGGCGTGTGGTTGAAACAAGGGTCTCATGCTGCGTGTGGTTGAAAGAATTATCGTCTATGGCGTGTGGTTGAAACAATTATCGTCTATGGCGTGTGATTGAAAGAAGAGTCCTCTATGGTGTATGCGCCACAAAGTATCGCTTGGCCACTACGTTCTTGGGTATGGATATACACGTCTGAAAAGGGAAAACACATTTTTAGAAACATGGATAACAATGATGGCACCAATGACGATTCTAACTTACCAAACGGGAAGGCAAAACATCCGAGCTTTGTACTATTCACTTCGCATGCCGCGGTAACAGAAGAACTCTACTTCACCTTCACTATTGACCATCAGTTAAAACGGTGAGTTGCATGTACGTTTCTGTATTCCTACGTTTATGCATACTTTAAAAACCTCTTTTACCATCTACTTGCCAGAACTTCGTTAGTAACTATGTATGCTTCTTATCATTAATTACCCACCTCACCCCCTCCTCCTCATCAACCAAATAGTTAATGAAAAAAATAATGAAACCATTACCAGCAACATCCTTCCGTCATCTAGGACTTCCCGTTCAAATCGTGAAGGGATATCACTCTTGTTGATAGGCTCTTGTATACAAACTAATTTATCTCCCTCTATGCTGAAAGTGGACTGAAACAACATATAATAAGACTAAAACTTAGATGGTGTTTGAACGTCATACAAAAATCATCGTAACAAGCACTGGTGGAAGTCAAATTACATTCAGCCAATAATTAAATTTGGGACGCCGTGGCCTATCGGTAGAGCACTAGATTGCTCATCCAAAAGTCTCGAGTTCGAGAATCGGGGGTGGGCGAGTCGGTAAAGCTCATGGTTGCTAAACCGAAAAGTCTCGAGTTCGAGCAGAGGCTCGTTAGCTGGGGACAGAAACTGATCTAGGAGAGACAACTCCAAAATCAAACAACTGCTGTCTGGCAGTTTGTTCTTGGTTGGACAAAGGCTATGGAAGCAAAGCCTCAATGGCGCATAACCAGTTGACACTTATACTTAATTGTGTTGGAGGGGATCCCTTCCTACTCTAAAATTAAGAACGAAGAAGAACAAGAAAGACCATTCGGGGTTCCAGTATAAGTTCTGTGATAATGTGCATTCACGGTCATTTCCCATTTGTCCAACGTGTGTGTACTCACGGTCATATCCCGGCCGACCAATGTGTGTGTACTCACGGTCATATCCGGGACGTCCAACGTGTGTTCTATGATTGTGTGTACTCACGGTCACATCCCCCCAGCGCGTGTTCTATGATTGTGTGTACTCACGATCATATCCCGGCCAACGTGTGTTCTATGATTGTGTGTACTCACGGTCATATCCCGGCCGTCCAACGTGTGTGTACTCACGGTCATATCCCGGCCGTCTAGTGTGTGTTCTATGATTGTGTGTACTCACGGTCATATCCCGGCCGTCTAGTGTGTGTTCTATGATTGTGTGTACTCACGGTCATATCCCGGCCGTCTAGTGTGGGGTCTATGATTGTGTGTACTCACGGTCATATCCCGGCCGTCTAGTGTGTGTTCTATGATTGTGTGTACTTCCAGCCGTCCAACGTGTGTTCTACGATTGTGTGTACTAACGGTCATATCCCGGACGTCTAGTGTGTGTTCTATGATTGTGTGTACTCACGGTCATATCCCGGCCGTCTAGTGCGTGTTCTATGATTGTGTGTACTCACGGTCATATCCCGGCCGTCTAGTGTGTGTTCTATGATTGTGTGTACTCACGGTCATATCCCGGCCGTCTAGTGTGTGTTCTATGATTGTGTGTACTCACGGTCATATCCCGGCCGTCTAGTGTGTGTTCTATGATTGTGTGTACTCACGGTCATATCCCGGCCGTCTAGTGTGTGTTCTATGATTGTGTGTACTCACGGTCACATCCCGGCCGTCTAGTGTGTGTTCTATGATTGTGTGTACTCACGGTCATATCCCGGCCGTCTAGTGTGTGTTCTGTGAAGGGCTGACCGAGCTGGAATTCGATTTTCTGGTTCTTGAAGGTGGATGTAATGTGGATGGTCCAGTGGTCACCGTCTCGCTTGATCTCCTCGTAGCTTGTGATGGATTTGCCCACTGCACGCAAGGCCACGTTGACGTCTGCAAGTGTTTTGGTACATATAATTATCTGCTTATATCAGTTAATGTGTACATAGAATTATCTGCTTATCTCAGTTAATGCGTACATAGAATTATCTGCTTATTTCAGTTAATGCTAATTAAAATGAATTTAAAAAGTAAATAATCCACTTTAGAGCTGGCGATCCATCTATATATATATAATTCTCTTCTGGGAGACGTTAGAAAACAAGCTGCAAGCGCGCCTTGCAGTCCCCTATTTCCTCTCTATCGCTGCCACCCCCCCCCCCAACCCGTCACATGGTCTGGTGAGCTGTGGTTCACGCTAAATGTTTACATAATACAATCGTAGAGCCGGGTTTAGTGACGGCTATTAGGGGCAGATAATTTAGTTCGAAACGATTTTAAACTTAGAGGAGGTAACTAAAAGGAGACAGCATTGGTACTGTCGAATTCACAAATTATGATTTACTGAAAAGTAGAAAAAACAACAACTAAATAGCGGCGTATGATACACCGCGGTTCGGCTCATTGTACATATCTTTCTTGATCTCGGCATATGAAGGATGGTGTGGTAAGCACTTTGCCCAGTTGCCTTTACTTTCCAAAACACAAGTTAGGTACCCAATAGAGCTGAGTGGACTCAGGGACATTCTACTAACATGGACCCGGATACGACTATCGGGTTAGCAGCCTAGCGCTCTACCGCTTAAGCCACGCCGTCCCATCTAAAATTAAACATATTTAGGATTAATCACTAAATCATTTTAAAAAGTGAATTAAAGTGTTTTCTATATAACTTCTGGTTTCATTTCGAGGGACTCAAAAGTTTCTGCAAAGTCTCAAAAACTTTGATGGTTTTGTTTTAAGTATTTATATTTAAACCAATGGATGATATATATTCTTTCATTCAAAAGAGGAATAATACTATGATAAACACACGTTGACTATGAATTACTTTGAGTATTTGTTTTATCTTAATCTATGGCTTACTATTGGCCTTCATGTACTCGTTGAAGTTTTCATTTTGTTGAAGTTTCCAATGTCCAAACAGTTTCTCGACCATTTTTTAAAATATGTTCTGCAGATTAAAGTGTTTATTTAAAAAAACATTTCAATATACCTCAAAATATGAAATTATTTTTTTTTATCAATTAAATAATTATTTTGAGATAGATTAACCTGATGAATATTGGACCGAGCTATATTAGGCCGTAAAAACACGGTAGTTGATGAATTCAATCAGAAAAAGTTCATTTTACAAGAAAGAAGGAAATTTATCTAAATGCTGAACAATCGATGATGTAAATGATGAATAAAGGCTAAATTGTCCAGTTGAATTTCTCAATAGACAAGCACGTCCAGCGTGTCTTCTCTGCAGTTTGTGATGAGAGAAGTTTTATTTTTGCCTCAGACATGTTATTTGCAGCGTCAGTTTGCCTTGCATGCTGCTTTAGTATTACAGTTTTCATCATCGGCCTGTGCGGACTAATGCAGATTTACAATAGTAATACTTCTTTCTTACTTGCAGCCTACTATTTTTATTCATTTAAGATGGTTTACTTATACATAGATCGAAAACAAAACTACTAATTACAAATTTAATTTAAAAAAAAAACCCTGAAAATGCAAATGTGTAATAAAATGATGATTTAAAGCATTTTTTTCCTCCATCGGCTTGGTGGGCTGAGGGGAGTTAGACCAGGGGTCGGCAACCTTTTGCGACGGAAGAGCCAAAAGCTACAATTTTCAAAATTTTCCAGATTTTAAAGAGCCACTAA